TGCAACCTCCACCTTCCAGGTTCAAACAATTCTCCTGCCTCAACCTCCCAAGTAGCTGGGATAACAGACATGTGTCACCACGCCTGGCTAATTTTTTAAAAATTTTTAGTAGAGATGGGGGTTCACCATGTTGGTCAGGCTGGTCTTGAACTCCTGACCTCGGGTGATCCACCCGCCTCAGCCTCCCAAATTGCTGGGATTACAGGTGTGAGCTACTGTGCCCAGTCACTAAGAATATTTTTGAAATTTATGTTAAGACAGCTCATTCACTTCGTTCTTTTTTAAGGCAAATGACTTCTGTTAATATTTGCACATCGATATAGAGAAAAAGTATTTGCCATGTGAATGGCTGCATACTGTGTAACAAGACTAATTAGATTTCTTCCATTAAAGATACCACATCTGGAGCAGTAACTGCAATTGGAGTCAGTGCATGATTAAGGTGATAATTTTCTAAGATCTATTATTCTTTTTCTGTACAAAGGATGAGATAGGTAGTACCATGCTGCACCTTTAGTGTCTTTTTTTTTTGAGACAGGGTCTCACTCTGTTGCCCAGGCCCCAGGCTGGAGTGCAATAGTGTGACCTTGGCTCACTGCAACCTCTGCTTCCCGAGTTCAAGCAATTTTCGTGTCTCAGCCAACCCAAGTAGCTGGAATTACAGGCATGTGCCACCACACGTGGCTATGTTTTGTAATTTTAGTAGAGATGGGTTTCACCATGTTGCCCAGGCTCGTCTCGAACTCCTGGTCTCGAGTGATCCACCCGACTCAGCCTTCCAAAGTGCTGGCCCTTTGAAAGGGGCCACTGTGCTTGGCCCCTTTCAAGACTTTAATGGAGGCACTAATCTCTGCAACTGTCCTAAGGATGAAGTATTGTTTTTCTGTGGGGGAATTTAAATCTTCCATCCAACTCTTTCCTCTATTATGTCCTACCTCCTCTGTGTTAATTCCTCTCCTCTTCTTCAATTTCTTTTAGGTTGACTACTTTTAATTCAATTTTACCTCTCTTAACTTTATTGTTCTCTGAGAGATTACACATGCATCCTTTGCTTATCAATGTTTAATATTCTGACTCTGATAAATGCATTCAAGATATTACATCTGTTACTTTTCAGGTGACTTTTTACCTAATACTGTACAAATACAGTTATTAATACAGCATATGTTTTTACCTCTAGTTAATTCTGACAGATAATTTGTACTTTGGGCTGATGTGCCAGGCTAGTGAAAGTTTAATGTCACCTGTCTACCTTTCATTATCATCCTTTTTTAAAACTAAATGACCAAAAATAGAATAGGCAGATGATAACGATGAACTATCAGTAATTTTAAGCACTTCTACATTTTATATGAAAAAGAGCAAGCTTAGAAATGTGCCTCAGAGCCGTGATCTGAAACCCTCATTGGATTCTAGTGATGCCCTTGCAGTCAACACCTCTAAGATGGCAAGAAGATTATATGCTTGAGATGTGATTAGTGAAAGATGCTGCACACTGAGAGTTTGGAGACCTGGTCTATCAGCATTGGGCAAGTCGTTTGACCTCTCTGGAATTCTCATTCTTTCTCTAAAAAATCAGACCTAGGTTTCTAAGGTTACTATTGGCTTCCGGATTCTCTATTTAAAAAGAAAAATACTTTCTTGAGTCGTTTGTTTTGACCTGATAGAGTATTGCTACAACAAGAATGGTGACACACACCTGTAGTCCCAGCTACTCAGGAGGCTGAGGTAAGAGGATCACTTGAGCCCAGGAGTTGGAGTCCAGCTTGGGCAACAGAGCAAGACCCTATCTTTAAAATAATAATAATAATAATAATAATAATAATAATAATAATAATAGTATTGGCACAGAAATGGACGGCATGCTGTGGCGGGGCAGGTGCAAGATGCCGCTGATGGTTCAGGTGCTTGATTTGAGTAGGGGCTCAGCGCGGTGGCTCATGGCTGTAATCCCAGCATTTTCGGAGGCTGAGGAGGGCACATCACTTGAGGCCAGGAGTTCGAGAGCAGTCTGGCCAACATGGTGAAACCCCGTCTCTACTAAAAATACAAAAATTAGCCGGGCGTGGTGGCACATGCTTGTAATCCCAGCTACTCAGGAGGCTGAGGCAGGGTAATCGCTTGAACCCGGGAGGCAGAGGTTGCAGTGAGCGCCACTGTACCCCAGCCTGAGTGACAGAGGAAGACTCCACTTCATTAAAAACACACACACACACAATAAAATTTGCTGTAGGTGTGACCTCCTGCCCCGCACGGCCAGGAACTTAATCTTGAGGGCCAGCTTGTCGTCCTGTACGCTGCTCTAAAGAGGCGTCCGTGGTGCCCATGCAAGTCTACAAGGATCCCCCGGAGGACCTGCAGAATGCACCCGACGTCAACTACGTGGTGGACCCCACCCTGGAACTGGAGCAGTGCGTTGGCAGCTGCAGCTGCCGGATGCGCACCGAGCCGCTGCAGTTTATTGCTGGCTGACTACCGCCCCTTGCTGCGGGCGGAGGCCCTGAAGATGGCACTCTCCTTCCTGCAGATAATCTTTAACGTGGACCTGTACGAAGAGGTCCACCGGAAGCTCTTGGAGGCCACCAGGAATCTGCGGAACTCACCTGACGCCATCCCCGAAAGTGGCGTGGAGCCCCTGCCCCTGGACACGGCCTGGGTGGAGGCCACTCAGAAGAAGGCCCTGCTGAAGCTGGAGAAGCCGAACGCAGACCTGAAGAACTACAAGGGCAACTCCACCAAGGAGCGCAGCAGTCGTGGCCACGATGATTCAGCAATGCCCTCAAGTGTCACTCACGGCCTGAGGCTACTGCAGCAGCGCCAAGCACGCCATCAACATGTCCTCAATGTCTTCAAGGTCAGCGTCTACTTGCAACATTGGCCTTACGTGCTGAGCCGCGTCTGCAAGGCGGAGTCCATCCTGCAGATTGCCGAGCAGCGAGGACAGCGGGGCAACCAACCAGGCGCAGGCGGTCCTCACCGAACTCCCATGCTCTGCAGGCTTGGCGGAGCTGGCCGCGAGGAAGTACAAGAAGGCTGCCAAATGCTTCCTGCTGGCTCGGCTTGATCACTGTGACGTCCCCGAGCTGCTGTCCCCCAGCAACGAGGCCGTCTTTGGGGGCCTGTGCGCCTTGGCCACCTTCGACCGGCAGGAGCTGCAGCGCCACCTCATCTCCAGCAGCTCCTTCAAGTTGTTCTTGGAGTTGGAGCCGCAGGTTGGACACCTCGGCTTCAAATTCCACGAGTCCAAGTGTGCCTCATGTCTGAAGATGCTGGACGATGTGGCCACCTTGAGTCTTGAGGCCAGAAGTTTGAGACCAGTTGGGTCAACATGGCGAAATCCCGTCTCTACTAAAAAATACAAAAAGTAGCCGGTTGTGGTGGTGCCCGCCTGTAATCCCAGCTACTCGGGAGGCCGAGGCAAAATTGCCTGAGCCTGGGAGGCAGAGGTTGCAGTCAGCCGAGATCGCGCCGCGGCACTCCAGCCTGGGAGACAAAGCGAGACTCTGTCACCAAAAAAACAAAAAAGGAGGAAATGTAGGACAACCTGCACTCGGACATGTGTACCTCCCCCACCCCCACACCCCCACCGCCCCGCCGTCAGGACCCTGTACGCCTAGATTCGCAACTGCGCCCTCAACACACACAGGATGGCCACGCCCTCAGCCCCGCGGTGGCAGCGCGGGAGGGTGAGCTGAGGCAGCACATCCGGGAGAATGTGGATCAGCGCAAGCACCACCTTCGAGAAGTCTCTGCGAATCGCGGGAGTTTCAGCACAGCGCCCAAGGCCGGATGGTGAGGGTCGCTGTGCTGCGCAACCAGATCCACGTGAAATCCCTCCCGGAGAAGGGAGCCGGGGTAGCGACTCCGGCCAACAGCCAGTCCCAATGAACACCAGCTTCTGAGGGGCGGCCCTCAGCCTCCGGATGTCTGCACACCCTCCCGCCCCCACGGACCTGTTCACCTCGAGGCAGCTCGCGGCCCAGTGAAAGGCCTGGCTGCTGTGTGCCCTCGCATCCCGTGTGCCCTCGCACCCTGTGTGCCCTCGTACCCCGTGTGTCCTGTGCTGGGGCCTGGAAGGCAGGCGGCCGCTAGCCATCCTGGAAGGTGGGTCCTGTAGCGCTTGACCACGTGGGTGGCTGTACCTAGAGAGCAGGCTGTGCAGCGCTGAGGCGGCACCACCTCTCGGAAACCTACTTTTCCAAGGAGGAGGAAGAGAAGGAGGGAGAGGGAGAGGGAGAGGGGAAGGGGGAAGAAAAGGAAGAGGAAGAGGAAGAGGAAGAGGAGGAGGAGGAAGAAGAAGAAGAAGAAGAGAGGAGGAGAGGAGGGTTTTTTTTCTTCTTCTTCTTTAGAAGAAGAAGAAGAGGAGGAATGGTTTACTTTTTTTCTTTTTCTTTTTTTTTTTTCTTTCTTTTTTTTTTTTTTTTTTTTGAGACGGAGTCTTGCTCTGTTGCCCAGGTTGGAGTGCAGTGTCGTGATCTGGGCTCACTGCAGCCTCCACCTCCTGGGCTCAAGCAATCCTTCCACCTCAGCCTCCCGAGTAGCTGGAACTACAGGTGCACACCACCATGCCCAGCTAATTTTGTATTGTTTTGTAGAGATGGGGTTTTGCAATGTTGTTCAGGCTAGTCTCGAACTCCCGGGCTCAAGCGATCTGCTTGAGGCCTCCCAAAGTGCTGGGATTACAGGCATAAGCCACCAAGTGCTGACCTTTTTCTTTTCTTTTCTTTCTTTTTCTTTTCTCTTTTTTGCACCACCGCATTCTTTTTTTTGAGACAGAGTCTTGCTCTGTCACCAAGGCTGGAATGCGGTGGTGCAATCATAGCACTGCAGCCTCCTTGAACTCCTGGGTTAACGTTATCTTCCCTCCTCAGCCTCCTGAGTAGCTAAGACTACAGGCATGCACCACAATACCTTATTAATTTTTATTTTTTTTTTTGGTAACGACGGGGGTCTCACTATGTTACTCAGGCTGGTCTCCAACTCCTGGCCTCAAGCAATCCTTCTGCCTTGGCCTCCCAAAGTGCTGATATTATAGGCGTGAACCATCACACACGACCCTAAAAATGTTTATTCTCTTTTTGAGGTGTTTCTTCTTTCAACATGTCATGATTTGCAATAAGACTTTAGGTTTGATTGCCACTCCATTATTATTTGTCCGCATTTATGAGGCCAGACTCACCCCAGGCACTTGTTTATGAAATCGGACATGACTCATTGATCTACGAGCATCGATTCCTAGAACAATCAACAGACTGAAAGAAATGCACCCAAACATAAATCACTGTATGCATTCACCAACGCAAAAGGAAAATTCTCATTTGTTTTACGTTTCGTTTCCAAATATGATATACCAGGAGAGATCCCAGCTTGATATCAATTAGAAAAAAAATACTGTAAGAAAATTGCAAAGCACCAGAGGACATTTTGAACCTTGGGAGAGGACTAGGTTAAACTCCATTGATCAAAATAACTGTGCTCATTCTGGATTAGAGCCCCACAGCCACCTGATCAGAGCCTTTATATCTGCAACCAGCAGCAATTTTTCCACTAATGAGCCACACACGGTGCAACTTTAAGGTTCTGCGAACCCAATCGTGATTTTTTTGTTCACCCATAAGGTAAGTAGTAAATATGTGGAGTTTCTTGTTTATGAGAAATATATAGAAAATCCTTGTGGAGATAGAAAGACAAGATCTGAAATAATATGCAGAAAAGGGCCATCAGCTTTTTACATAGGATATGCTAGATTTGTATTTGATAATAAAAGAAAATTCAGTAATAGTTCTAAGACCCACATTCATTTAATGGTAAAAAGTAGTTATTTTTAGAAAACGGACTAGTTGTCTAAAGGACAAAATGTCTTGTATTCTAGTATGTAAGATTGTATTTTTGTTTTTGATGTAGGCTAAGCTCAGTTTTCCTTGCTATTTAAAAATAATAATTTCCACATTTTAAAGAGATAGTGGCAAAAAGCAGTATTATATAGTTTAGTACTGCCAAATAGGAGTAAGACTGACATGAGTTAGCTTTCCCATCTCAGGGTTTTTTTTATAAATTGGAGCTTATAGTTTTTTTTTTAAGTGCTAAAGGAATCCTTTATTTATTTATTTTTTTCCAGATCTCTACCTGCAGAGGAAATCTCTTTTTAAAATAAAGAATAATGACGAGAAAGTTTTAAGGGAATAATTATAGGAAAAGACCAAAACTCTAAGACAGGATAGAATTTAGTAAGTTATTGCTTTTGGTTAATGAGGTCTGAGTCCTCATTTTCATATCTAATTTTTATTTGCAAGTAATATAAATGACTGCATTCTTAATTTTTGAGTTTCAAACAATTCACAACTATATAGAGTAAATTATAAAAGTCTCATTAATACCTCTTCCAAATTCTGAGAGGTATCTATCACTTTTTCAATTTCATTAAAAAATTCTTTATATATGTACATACATGTAAAAATGTACATAAACCTACACTTTTGATAAAAATCACTCATGCTTTCTTAGAAGTCTTTTTTCCTTTCCTTTCTCTTTCTTGCCTCTCTTTTTTCCACCTTAACTTCCCAACCACTCTCATCACCTTCAACAGACCTCAGGTAACCTATATTAAATTCCTGGTGTGTATCCTTCTGCATTTTTTTCTCCATGCTCAATAAAATCACATACATATATATCTCACATACACATGCGTACATATATATGTACATTTACAGAGTTTTATTTTACTGAGTGATTTGCAATTCCACACTGAATCTTTGGATTAATTTGGGGAGAATTGACATCTTTACCTATACTGCAATTTTCAATCCCTGAGCGTAGTATATCACCATTAAATTAAATTTATTTATATAGTGGTGTGTGTGTGTGTGTGTGTGTGTGTGTATTTGGCGTTGTCAACTATCCCCCTTCTTGAAACTCTGGCTTTGGACTTTGGTTTCAGAGACAACACCCTCATGGTTTTCCTCCTCTCTCTCCTTGGCCATTTCTCATATTTATTTGTAGATTCTTTCTTCCCCTATGTTAGTCTCAGGGTTCTGTCATTGTCTCACTTTTTCCTTTTGTCTCTGCGTGATCCTCTCTACCTATTCAATGATAATTCATTAATGTTTATCTCCTGTTTGTACCATTTTTGTTGTTGTTGTTCTCTAGACCCAGATGCCTTCTGGACATCTCCACCTTTGCCATTCAGTTTTGCTGGTAGAATCTGTATCTTTTCTTTCTTTCTTTCTTTCTTTCTTTCTTTCTTTCTAGCATAACACAACAACAACAACAGCAACAAGCTGCAGCAACAACGGCTAGCAACTTTTTTTCTGGGTCAGTCTGGCTCTGCCGCGCCAGAAGCGCGGCTGAGCTGGGGGTGCAGTGTGGCCAGATCTGGCAGCTGCTCAACTCCACCTCCCAGGAGTTTCTGCGCCATTACATTCTCCTGCTCAGCCTCCCCAGTAGCTGGGACTACAGGCGCCACCACCACCTACTTCCAGCTAGTTTTTTTGTATTTTAATGAGGCAGGTTTTTCGCCGGTTGGCATTTGATTCTGATCACCACGGCCTCTTGATCGCTGTGCGCCGTCCGACCTCCCAAGTCGGATTACAGGCGGCGGCATTACCAGCGGCGGCCTCTTTCCTTCTTTCTTTCTTTCTTCCTTCCTCCTTCCTTTACTTCTCTTTAGCTACCATTTCCTTCCTTTGCTTCTTCTAAGAGATTCTCTGCTCTGCTCACCCAGGTGAGCCAGGTGTAGTAGTCACCATTATGGCTCACACCGGCTTCCAAGCCCTGGGCTCAAGTGATCTGCCTCCCAGTGGCCTTCAGCCTCCTAGTAGCTAGGACTATAGGCACTGCCAGCCATGCTGGCCAACTTTTTACACATTTATTTTTGTAGGGCAGAGCTCACTGCTGTTTTCCAGCCTGATCACCACCAACTCTAGCAAGCTCCGCCTCCCGGGTTTACGCCATTCTCCTGCCTCAGCCTCCCAAGTAGCTGGGACTACAGGCGCCTGCCACCTCGCCCGGCTAGTTTTTTTGTATTTTTTAGTAGAGACGGGGTTTCACCATGTTAGCCAGGCTGGTCTCGATCTCCTGACCTCGTGATCCGCCCGTCTCGACCTCCCAAAGTGCTGGGATTACAGGCTTGAGCCACCGCGCCCGGCCTCTTTCCTTCTTTCTTTCTTTCTTCCCTTCCCTCCTTCCTTCCTTCCTTCCTTCCTTCCTTCCTTCCTTCCTTTCTAAGGGTCTCACTCTGTCACCCAGGCCAGAGTGTAGTAGTGCCATTATGGCTCACCGCAGCTTCAAACCCCTGGGCTCAAGTGATCCTCCCGTGTCAGCCTCCCTAGTAGCTAGGACTATAGGCACTCACCATCATGCCTGGCCAACTTTTTACATTTATTTTTTGTAGAGACAGGGGCCTCACTGTATTTCCCAGCCTGGTCTGCAACTCCTGGGCTCAAGCAGTCCTCCCGCCTCTACATTCCAAAGTTCTGGGATTACAGGAGTGAGGTACCATGCCCAGCTAGAATCTGTATTTTTTTCTAATTATAATTTCTGGCACTGAGGTGCTTAAAAAGCCCTCTACTTCAAGATTAAACAACATATTCTTTTATAATTTATTTTAATACATTTTTACAATTAATGTTTTGTTCCATCTGGAATCAATTGTTGTGTTTGGAGATAAGTTGGAAAAAAATCTAAGGATTCCAGGTTTTTCTCTCATTTTTTTTGGTTGATATTCATTTTTGTATTATCAGTCTTGATTCATTTTATAGGTTGGTGGGAGTCCTTAGTGATCAAGTGCTGTGAGGTCTGGGACCAAATATAGCTTGTTATTGAATTCCTGGCATCTAGCACAATGCCTAGGCGATAGCAAGGTTTGATTTATTTTATTTTATTTTATTTTTATTTATTTATTTTTGAGATGGAGTCTTGCTCTATCACCCAGACTGGAGTACAGTGGCAGGATCTTGGCTCAGTGCAACCTCCGCCTCCCAGGTTCAAGCAATTCTGCTTCAGCCTCCTGAATAGCTGGGATTATAGGCGCACAGCACCATGCCTGGCTAATTTTGGTACTTTTAGTAGAGGCGGGGTTTCACTATGTTGACCAGGCTGGTTTCAATCTCCTGACCTTGTGATCTGCCTGCCTCAGCCTCCCAAAGTGTTGGGATTACAGGTGTGAGCCACTGTGCCCAGCCAATAGCAAGGTATTAGCAAATATTACTGAATGAATGAATTATGGAAGCGGAGAATTGTTTCATTATCTTTTTTTTTTTTTTTAATGGAGTTTCGTTCTTTCACCCAGGCTGGAGTGAAGTGGCGTGATCTCGGCTCACGGCTCACTGCAATCTCTGCCCCCTGGGTTCAAATGATTCTCCTGCCTCAACCTCCCGAGTAGCTAGGATTACAGGTGCATGCCACCACACCAGCTAATTTTTCTATTTTCAGTAAAGATGGGAGTTCACCATGTTGACCAGGCTGATCTCGAACTCCTGACCACCCTCCTCGAACTCGTGATCCACCCACCTCAACCTCCCAAAGTGCTAGGATTATAGGCATGAGCCACCACATCCAGCCTCATTATCTATTTTAACTTAATAATGATTTCTTATTTTTCCTCGGTATCTTTCTTATCTGGAAGTCTTCCATATCTTAGAAAGCTTTAACCTTCTAAGTATTTTAACCTTATTGAATCTTGAAAAACATTAGTTTTTCAGGATAAACCAAGTAACCTGTTCATGTCAGCTATACCTTGTTTCCCAGATCCTAAGCTTGCTAGATAAGCAGTTTATATTCACTTTTCTTCTAAGTTAGCAAAAATTCCATGAAAACATGATGTTCCAGATGTGGCTTAATGGATGTAATTATGTGTTATTACTGGTATTGTTTCTGTGTCTGCCTAATCTTTACTGCTACCCTGATATGAACCAGTTCCTGAGGGTTTACTTGACTGATTTGTATTTTCTTTACCTATACTTTGTCTTGCAGTGAAAGCCCTGGATAATATATCATGAGGATCTACTTTATTTTGCCTGTTGATGGTTATTTTGGTGATAGGGTCAAGGAACATAATTTTAAAGTGAAAAGACAATTCCATTCACTATTATATATTGATGCCTTCTGTGTGCAATGACCAACATGCTTTAGAAAGAGTCTCTATCTGCAAGGGGTGTACCTTTCTAGGAAGGAGAACATAAGCCACAACCATCACAAAACTCATTTAGGCACAGTCCCAGGTGAATAATATTAATAATAGTGTTGTGAGGATTCAGGAAAGGGAAAAATAACTACAACTTGGGATGGGTAGGGAACACTTCCTGAGGAATTGAGACTCCTATGATCATGTCAGATGTATGGTAAGTAGAATATCTCATATGGATAGAAAAATGAATACAATTGTGCAATTAGAATGAATTGTACAAATATGGAGACCTATTTGTATACTAGAATAACAAGCAGCTATGTGGGGGAGAGTAAAAGAGAATAGGAAGAAGTAAACTGTGGTGAAATTGTGGGGGGGATCTTTAGTGTTTTTTCGAAAATTAATGTCTTTGGAAATATCCTATTTTAAGCATGGGCTATAACTATTAGGGCTGGAATATCCTTCATAGTTTTGCTGACATACAAAAGAACCTGCTGTATTTTGGAGCTTGTGTCTATATGTTACCACCATGGGTGCTATTAACCTCAGTGTTTTCTGTATATTTCAGACATTAGTCTTTAACCATGGGGGATTGGAACTTATTGGGTGGCATCCTAGAGGAAGTTCACTCCCACTCAACCATAGTGGGGAAAATCTGGCTGACCATCCTCTTCATCTTCCGAATGCTGGTACTTCGTGTGGCTGCTGAGGATGTCTGGGATGATGAACAGTCAGCATTTGACTGCAACACCCGGCAGCCAGGTTGCAACAATATCTGTTATGATGATGCATTCCCTATCTCTTTGATCAGGTTCTGGGTTTTACAGATCATCTTTGTGTCTTCTCCTTCTTTGGTCTATATGGGCCATGCACTTTATAGGCTGAGGGCCTTTGAGAAAGAGAGACAAAGGAAAAAGTCACACCTTAGAGCTCAGATGGAGAATCCAGAGCTTGACTTGGAGGAGCAGCAAAGAATAGATAGGGAACTGAGGAGGTTAGAAGAGCAGAAGAGGATCCATAAAGTCCCTCTGAAAGGATGTCTGCTGCGTACTTATGTCTTACACATCTTGACCAGATCTGTGCTGGAAGTAGGATTCATGATAGGCCAATATATTCTCTATGGATTTCAAATGCACCCTCTTTACAAATGCACTCAACCTCCTTGCCCCAATGCAGTGGATTGCTTTGTATCCAGGCCCACTGAGAAGACAATTTTCATGCTTTTTATGCACAGCATTGCAGCCATTTCCTTGTTACTCAATATACTGGAAATATTTCATCTGGGCATCAGAAAAATTATGAGGACACTTTATAAGAAATCCAGCGGTGAGGGCATTGAGGATGAAACAGGTCCTCCATTCCATTTGAAGAAATATTCGGTGGCCCAGCAGTGTATGATTTGCTCTTCCTTGCCTGAAACAATCTCTCCACTTCAAGCTAACAATCAACAGCAAGTCATTCGAGTTAATGTGCCAAAGTCTAAAACCATGTGGCAAATCCCACAGCCCAGGCAACTTGAAGTAGACCCTTCCAATGGGAAAAAAGACTGGTCTGAGAAGGATCAGCACATTGGACAGCTCCATGTTCACAGCCCATGTCCCTGGGCTGGCAGTGCTGGAAATCAGCACCTGGGACAGCAATCAGACCAGTCTTCATTTGGCCTGCAGAATACAATGTCTCAGTCCTGGCTAGGTACAACTACGGCTCCTAGAAACTGTCCATCCTATGCAATAGGAACCTGGGAGCAGTCCCAGGACCCAGAACCCTCAGGTGAGCCTCTGACAGATCTTCATAGTCACTGCAGAGACAGTGAAGGCAGCATGAGAGAGAGTGGGGTCTGGATAGAGAGATCTCGCCCGGGCAGTCGCAAGGCCAGCTTTCTGTCCAGATTGTTGTCTGAAAAGCGACATCTGCACAATGACTCAGGAAGTTCTGGTTCTCGGAATAGCTCCTGCTTGGATTTTCCTCACTGGGAAAACAGCCCCTCACCTCTGCCTTCAGTCCCTGGGCACAGAACATCAATGGTAAGACAGACAGCCCTATCGATCATGGAACTATCCCAAAAACTGTTCCATCCTGGATGCTTTCTTTTTCCTTTCTTCCTTCCTGGGGTGTGTATGTATGTTTCTGTTGACAGAGAGGCAGATGGAGAGGGAGATTATTTATGGAGAGATAAAATTATTCATTCAATACATTCAGTTAAATTCAATTCATAAAATAGAAAAAACTTATACCAATTGCTTTTATAAGTGCTGGGCATATAAATGGATAAATGGATAAAATGGACATCAAAGGACTCAGGATGTAGGAGGAAAATTTAGACAGGTAAACATGTAAATGTATCAAGTATAAGGCATCATGTTAGTGGGAATGAGTGAGCAAAGGAGGGAGTGGTCATATGGATAGGTCAGGGAAAGGTTCGTAGTTGAAGTTACCTTGAACTGAATCTTGAAAGATGTGACAAGTTTTTCCAAAACTGGGAGGACTGGGGCACATGAAAGAAGCCATCCTGGTAGAGGGAGTAGCACAGATAAAGTCTAAGAGGTGAGACACAGCAGTGCTGTCTGAGGAACTGTGTGCGGCTAGAGCACAGGGTGGTAGGAGGGCGCAGAGGGAGGGAAGGCTGGAGAAGTGGGCATGGAGGCCCTGTAGGGAAGCCATAGAGAACTGACAGAGGATGTGGAGCAGAGGAGGGACCGGATCAGAGTTGCAGTTTAGAAAGTCCTTCTGTCACAGTATAGAAAACGGTCCAGAGGAGGGATCATTTGTAAACTTGAGTTGCCTTCGTCTCACTAAAAAAGGAGGGTGTACTTCATTCTTTTAATATCTTTGACATTTCAAAGTCATATATCAATATTTGGTGATATATTTTACAAAGACAAGAATCAATATTGTATTGATTTTAATTTTGTTCTCTGAAAAACCACTGTGGGATAAACATTTCTTACCCATTATAAACATGAAATGGATATTTACTGTGGATTCTTCTCAATTCTGGAACAAAGGATGACACTTGCTTCCTCACTGCTCCCAACAGTCAACTGTTTCCATTAGAAAGAAAATTCCCCCAAGGTTGGTGGGGGAGCTTCTGAGTTGGGCTCACATGCTTGTTTCTTCCTTTGTTCCATTTTTGTGTGTGTGTGTTGATAATGACTGAATCCCTCTACCCTAGTTTTACATCTGCTATGGGTTTTGATACTGATGTTACTGTACTACAGCCATACCATGAGTGCAAATCAACCTACTTGGGTTTTTACTAAAATACTTCTCTCAAACTGATATTCATTTCTTGTCAGTGACCAGCCATTTATTCATGAGACTGTGTTTAGGATCAATGTATGGGTGCTTAGAAACCTATGCCAAACTAGAGCAGGGTTCTTAACCCTTGCCATACATTACAGTCATCTGGGAGGCTTAAAAGCCATCATGCCCAGGACCCAACCAATTCTAATTAAGCCAGAATTTCTGTGGGTGGGATGCATGCATCAATATTTTTAAAACTTCCATGGTAAGTGCATTGTGCAGCCAGGGTTAAGAACGACTATTGTAGAATAACTTGGGGCCAGGCGTGGTGGCTCATGCCTGTAATCTTAGTACTTTGGGAGGCCAAGGCAGGTGAATCGCTTGAGCTCAAGACTTCAAGACCAGCCAGGGCAACATGATGAAACCCTGTTTCTTAAAAAAAAAAAAAAAAAATACAGAGATCAGCCAGGTGTGGTGGCATATGCCTCTAGCCCCAGCTACGTGGGAGGATCACTTGAGCTTGGAAGGTTGAGGCTGCAGTAAGCCATGATCATGCCACTACACTCCAGCTTGGGCAACAGAATGAGACCTTGCCTCTAAAAGATAAAAAAAATTAAATAGAATTCTTTGGCGAGTGGCAGCTGCTTCTTTTTTTAAAATTTCCTTTCTTTTGGCCAGGCGCTGTGGTTCACGCCTGTGATCTCAGCACTTTGGGAGGCCGAGGCGGGTGGATCACCTGAGGTCGGGAGTTCCACACCAGCCTGACCAACATAGAGAAACCCATCTCTACTAAAAATACAAAATTAGGCAGGCGTGGTGGCGCATGCCTGTAATCCCAGCTACTGGGGAGGCTGAGGCAGGAGAATCACTTGAATCCGGAAGCGGAGGTTGCGGTGAGCTCAGATTGCGCCATGCACTCCAGCCTGGGCAACAAGAGTGATACTCCGTCTCAAAAAAATTTTGTCTTTCTTCCTTCCTCCCTCCCTCCCTTCCCTCCCTCCCCCTCTCTCTCTCTCTCTCTCTCTCTCTCTCTCTCTCTTTCTTTCTTTCTTTCTTTCTTTCTTTCTTTCTTTCTTTCTTTCTCTCTCTCTCTCTCTCTCTTTCTTTCTTTCTTTCTCTTTCTTTCTGTTTCCCTCCCTTCCCTTCCCTTCCCTTCTTCCCTTCCCTTCCCTTCCCTTCCCTTCCCTTCCCTTCCCTTCTTCCCTTCCCTTCCCTTCCCTTCCCTTCCTTTTAAGTGCAGCGGTAAGAAGAGGGGAAAGAGTAGAACAAAGAGTTCAATCTGTGACTGTAAACAATCAGTTGGGATAACTCACTACATTCAGACCATCCACCGCTTCTCATCTGAATTTACAAAGTCAGCAATACAATTTTCATTATTTTCCTTTTCTTGTACCTTCCATGCAAGAGAAACCTTTGTATTGGCGGACTGTTGGAGATATGGAAGTTTTTAGGTGAGATAGATTTTCTTTTTTCTTTTTCTTTTTTTGAGATGGAGTCTTGCTCTGTCGCCCAGGCTGGAGTGCAGTGGCTGGATCTCGGCTCACTGCAGCCTCTGCCTCCTGAGTTCAAGCAATTCTCCTGCCTCAGCCTTCCAAGTAGCTGGGACTACAGGCACTCACCACCATGCCCAGCTAACTTTTGTATTTTTAGTAGAGACGGGGTTTCGCCACATTGGCCAGGATGGTCTCGATCTCTTGACCTTGTGATCCACCGCCTCGGTCTCCCAAAGTACTGGGATTACAGGCGTGAGCCACGGCGCCTGGCCACTAACCTTTTATAAATACAAGACATAGGCCGGGCGCGGTGGCTCACGCCTGTAATCCCAGCACTTTGGGAGGCCGAGACGGGCGGATCACGAGCTCAGGAGATCACGACCATCCTGGCTAACACAGTGAAACCCCGTCTCTACTAAAAAATACAAAAAAAATAGCCGGGCGAGGTGGCGGGCGCCTGTAGTCCCAGCTACTCGGGAGGCTGAGGCAGGAGAATGGCGAAAACCCGGGAGGCGGAGCTTGCAGTGAGCTGAGATCCGGCCACTGCACTCCAGCCTGGGCGACAGAGCGAGACTCTGTCTCCAAATGTATTTCCCAGCCTGGTCTGCAGCTCTGGCTCCATGCAGCAGTTCCTCCGCCTCTACATTCCAAAGTTCTGGGATTACAGGGTGAATTACCATGCCCAGCTAGAATCTGTGTTTTTTCTAATTATAATTTCTGGCACTGAGGTGCTTAAAAAAGCCCTCTACTTCAAAAGATTAAACAACATATTCTTTTAATTTATTTTAATACATTTTTACAATTAATGTTTTGTTCCATCTGGAATCAATTGTTGTGTTTGGAGATAAGTTGGAAAAAAATCTAAGGATTCCAGGTTTTTCTCTCATTTTTTTTGGTTGATATTCATTTTTGTATTATCAGTCTTGATTCATTTATAGGTTGGTGGAGTCCTTGGTGATCAAGTGCTGTGAGGTCTGGGACCAAATATAGCTTGTTATTGAATTCCTGGCATCTAGCACAATGCCTGGCTGATAGCAAGGTTTGGTTATTTCTTTATTTTATTTTTATTTGAAAACTATTTTTGAGATGAGAGTCTTGCTCTATCACCCAGACTGGAGTACAGTGGCAGGATCTTGGCTCAGTGCAACCTCCGCCTCCCAGGTTCAAGCAATTCTGCTTCAGCCTCCTGAATAGCTGGGATTATAGGCGCACAGCACCATGCCGCTAATTTTTAGTACTTTTAGTGTAGGCGGGGTTTCACTGCATGTTGACCAGGCTGGTTTCAATCTCCTGACCTTGTGATCTGCCTGCCTCAGCCTCCCAAAGTGTTGGGATTACAGGTGTGAGCCACTGTGCCCAGCCAATAGCAAGGTATTAGCAAATATTACTGAATGAATGAATTATGGAAGCGGAGAATTGTTTCATTATCTTTTTTTTTTTAATGGAGTTTTCTTTCGCAGGCTGGTGAAGTGGCGTGATCTCGGCTCACGCTCACTGCAATCTCTGCCCCTGGGTTCAAATGATTCTCCTGCCTCAACCTCCCGAGTAGCTAGGATTGGGTGCATGCCACCACACCAGCTAATTTTTCTATTTTCAGTAAAGATGGGAGTTCACCATGTTGACCAGGCTGATCTCGAACTCTGCATGCCCTCCTCGAACTCGTGATCCACCCACCTCAACCTCCCAAAGTGCTAGGATTATAGGCATGAGCCACCACATCCAGCCTCATTATCTATTTTAACTTAATAATGATTTCTGTTTTCCTCGGTATCTTTCTTATCTGAAGTCTTCACATATCTTAGAAAGCTTTAACCTTCTAAGTATTTTAACCTTATTGAATCTTGAAAAACATTAGTTTTCAGGATAAACAAGTAACCTGTTCATATCAGCTATACCTTTATTTCTGCAGATCCTAAACATACTGAATAAGCAGTTTATATTCACTTTTCTTCTAAGTTAGCAAAATTCCATGAAAACGCAGTATTAGGTAGCTAATGGATGTAATTATGTATTATTACTGGTATTGTTTCTGTGTCTGCCTAATCTTTACTGCTACCTGATATGACAGTTCCTGAGGTTGCACTTGACGTTGTATTTTCTTTACCTATACTTTGTCTTGCAGTAGAAAGCTGGATAATATATCATGAGATCCTACTTTATTTTGCCTGTTGATGGTTATTTTGGTGATAGGGTCAAGGAACATAATTTTAAAAAGTGAAAGACAATTCCATTCACTATTATATATTGATGCCTTCTGTGTGCAATGACCAACATGCTTTAGAAAGAGTCCTCTATCTGCAAGAGGTGTACCTTTCTAGGAAGGAGAACACTAAGCCACAACCATCACAAAACTCATTTAGGCACAGTCAGGTGAATAATATTAATAATAGTGTTGTGAGGATTCAGGAAAGGGAAAAATAACTACAACCCAGGATGGGTGAGGAACACTTCCTGAGGAATTGAGACTCCTATGATCATATCAGATGTATGGTAAGTAGAATATCTCATATGGATAGAAAAATAGATACAATTGTGCAATTAGAATGAATTGTACAAATATGGAGACCTATTTGTATACTAGAATAACAAGCAGCTATGTGGGGGAGAGTAAAAGAGAATAGGAAGAAGTAAACTGTGGTGAAATTGTGGGGGATCTTTGAGTATTTTTCGAAAATTAATGTCTTTGGAAATATCCTATTTTCAGCATGGGCTATAACTATTAGGGCTGGAATATCCTTCATAGTTTTGCTGACATACAAAAGAACCTGCTGTATTTTAGGCTTGTGTCTATATGTTACCATAGGTGCCTATTAACCTCAGTGTTTCTGTATATTTCAGACATTAGTCTTTAACCATGGGGGGATTGGAACTTGTTGGTGGCATCCTAGGAAGTTCACTCCCACTCCAACCATATGATGGAAAATCCAGCCCAGCCATCCTCTTCATCTTCCAAAGATGCTGGTACTTCGTGTGGCTGCTGAGGATGTCTGGGATGATGGGCAGTCGGCATTTGACTGCAACACCCAGCAGCCAGGTTGCAACAATATCTGTTATGGTAGTGCATTCCCTATCTCTTTGATCAGGTTCTGGGTTTTACAGATCATCTTTGTGTCTTCTCCTTCTTTTGGTCTAGATGCTGCACTTTATAGGCTGAGGCCTTTGAGAAGAGACAAAGGAAAAGTCCACCTTGAAGAGCTCAGGTGGAGAATCCAGAGCTTGACTTGGAGGAGCAACAAAAGAATATCAAACAAAAACTCAAAGAAAGTCACTTTAAAGATCCCTCAATCCCTCTAGAGATATCTACTACTATCTTGTGTGTACACATCGATGGATCTGTAACAGGAGTAGAGTTCATGATGGTATTATATTCTCTGTGGTTCAAATGCCCTCACAAATGCATATTTCTTGCCCCAATGCAGTGGATTGCTTTGTATCAGGCCCACTGAAGAAGACTAATTTTCATGCTTTTTATGCACAGCATTGCAAAGCCATTTCCTTGTTACTCAATATGCTGAAATATTTCATCTGAAATCAGAAAAATTATGAGGACACTTTATAGAAATCGGTGAGGCATTGGGAATGAAACAGGTCACTCCATTCCATTGAAAAGAAATATTAGGCAGCCCAGCAGTGTATGATTTGCTCTTCCTTGCCTGGAAACAATCTCTACTTCAAAAAACAACGTCAGCAGCAAGTCATTCGAGTTAATGTGCCAAAGTCCCCAAAACATGGCAAATCCCACAGCCCAGGCAACTATGATGAGCCACTTCATTGGAAAAAAGACTGGTCTGAAGGATTCAGCACATTGGACAGCTCATGTTCACAGCCCCATGTCCCTGGGCTGGCAGTGCCACAAATCAGCACCTGGGACAGCAATCAGATGATCTTCATTTGGCCTGCAGACCTATTATCGTCCTGGCTAGGTACAACCTCGGCTCTGAAACTGTCCATCCTGGCAGCTGGGAACCTGGGAGCAGTCCCAGGTTGAACCCTCAGGTGAGCCTCGGCAGATCTTCACTTAGTCACTGCAGAGACAGTGAAGGCATGAAAGTGGGGTCTGGATAGAGAGATCTCGCCCGGGCATTATGAGCCAGCTTTCTGTCCAGATTGTTGTCTGGCGACATCTACACAATGACTCAGGAAGTTCTGGTTCTCGGAATAGCTCCTGCTTGATTTTCCTCCTGGGAAAACAGCCCCTCACCTCTGCCTTCAGTCCCTGGGCACAGAACATCAATGGTAAGACAGACAGCCTAATTCAGACTATCCAAAACTGTTCCATCCTGGATGCTTTCTTTTTCCTTTCTTCCTTCCTGGGGCGTATGTATGTTTCTGTTGACAGAGAGAGGCAGATGGAGAGGGGAGATTATTTATGGAGGATAAAATTATTCATTCATCATTCAGTTAAATTCAATTCATAAAATAGAAAAAACTTTTAATTGCTTTTATAAGTGCTGGGCATATAAATGGATAAATGGATAAAATGGACATCAAAGGACTCAGGATGTAGGAGGAAAATTTAGACAGGTAAACATGTAAATGTATCAAGTATAAGGCATCATGTTAGTGGGAATGAGTGAGCAAGGAGGGGAGTGGTCATATGGATAGGTCAGGGGAAGGTTCATTAGTTGAAGTTACCTTGAACTGAATCTTGAAAAGATATGACAAGTTTTCCAAAACTGGGAGGACTGGGGTACATGAAACCATCTGGTAGAGGGAGTAGCACAGATAAAGTCAAGGGGCAGAACCTGGCAATTGTGTCTGAGGAACTGTGCAGCTGCAGACACCCAGAGGTGGTAGGAGGCGCAGAGAGGAGGCTGGAGGTGGGCGCTGGAGGCCCTGTGGGAAGCCATAGAGAACTGACAGAGGATGTGAGCAGAGGAGGGACGGATCAGTTGCAGTTAAGAAAGTCAGCTTCTGTCACAGTATAGAAAACAGTCCAGAGGAGGATCATTTGTAAACTTGGAGTTGCCTTCGTCTCACTAAAAAAGGAAGATTTATTACTTCATTCTTTTAATATCTTTGACATTTCAAAGTCATATATCAATATTTGGTGATATATTTTACAAAGACAAGAATCAATATTGTATTGATTTTAATTTTGTTCTCTGAAAAACCATAGGATAAACATTTCTTACCCATTATAAACATGAAATGGATATTTACTGTGGATTCTTCTCAATTCTGGAACAAAGGATGACACTTGCTTCCTCACTGCTCAACAGTCCAGCTGTTTCCATTGAAAGAAAAATTCCCCCAAGGTTGGTGGGAGCTTCTGAAGTTAGGCTCACATGCTTGTTTCTTCCTTTGTTCCATTTTGTGTGTGTGTATTGATAATGACTGATCCCTCCCTAGTTTTACATCTGCTATGGGTTTTGATACTGATGTTACTGTACTACAGCCATACCATGAGTGCAAATCCAACCTACTTGGGTTTTACTAAAATACTTCTCTCAAGCTGATATTCATTTCTTGTCAGTGACCAGCCATTTATTCAGCAGAGACTGTGTTTAGGATCAATGTAGGTGTAGAAACCTATGCCAAACTAGAGCAGGGTTCTTAACCCTTGCCATACATTACAGTCATCTGGAAGCAAAAGCCATCATACCCAGGACCCAACCAGTTCTAATTAAGCTAGAATTTCTTTAGCCAGTTGGGATGCATGCATCAATATTTTTAAAACTTCCGTAGTAAGTGCATTGTGCAGCCAGGGTTAAGAACGACTATTATACCGATAACTTGGGGCCAGGCGTGGTGGCTCATGCCTGTAATCTTAGTACTTTGGGAGGCCAAGGCAGGTGGTCGCTTGAGCTCAAGACTTCAAGACCAGCCAGGGCAACATGATGAAACCCTGTTTCTTAAAAAAAAAAAAATACGAGATCAGCCAGGTGTGGTGGCATATGCCTCTAGCCCCAGCTACGTGGGAGGATCACTTGAGCTTTGGAAGGATTGAGGCTGCAGTAAGCCATGATCCTTTTCCCCTCCCCTTGGGCAACAGAATGAGACCTTGCCTCTAAAGATAAAAAAATTAAATAGAATTCTTTGGCAGTGGCTGTGGCTTTTTAAAATTTCCTTTCTTTTGGCCAGGCGCTGTGGTTCACGCCTGTGATCTCAGCACTTTGGGAGGCCGAGGCGGGTGGATCACCTGAGGTCGGGTTCCACACCAGCCCCACCAGCCAACATAGAGAAACCCATCTACTAAAAATACAAAATTAGGCAGGCGTGGTGGCGCATGCCTGTAATCCCAGCTACTGGGAGGCTGTGAGGCAGAATCACTTGAATCCGGAGGCGGGAGTTGCGGTGAGCTCAGGTGCGCCATGCACTCCAGCCTGGGCAACAGTGATACTCCGTCTCAAAAAATTTTGTCTTTCTTCCTTCTCCCTCCCTCCTTCCCTCCTCCCTCTCTCTCTCTCTCTCTCTCTCTCTCTCTCTCTCTCTTTCTTTCTTTCTTTCTTTCTTTCTTTCTTTCTTTCTTTCTTTCTCTCTCTCTCTCTCTCTCTTTCTTTCTTTCTTTCTCTTTCTTTCTGTTTCCCTCCCTTCCCTTCCCTTCCCTTCTTCCCTTCCCTTCCCTTCCCTTCCCCTTCCTTCCCTTCCCTTCTTCCTTCCTTCGCCCTTCCCTTCCTTTTTAAGTGCAGCGGTAAGAAGAGGAAAAGAGTAGAACAAAGAGTTCAATCTGTGACTGTAAACAATCAGTTAGGATAACTCTACATTCAGACCATCCACTTCTCATCTGAATTTACAAAGTCAGCAATACAATTTTCATTATTTTCCTTTTCTTGTACCTTCCATGCAAGAAAGTACTGTATTAGCGGACTGTTGGAGATATGGAAGTTTTTAGGTGAGATAGATTTTCTTTTTTCTTTTTCTTTTTTTGAGATGGAGTCTTGCTCTGTCGCCCAGGCTGGAGTGCAGTGGCTGATCTCAGCTCACTGCAACCTCTGCCTCCTGGGTTCAAGCAATTCTCCTGCCCTCAGCCTTCCAGTAGCTGGACTACAGGCACTCACCACCATGCCCAGCTAACTTTTGTATTTTTAGTAGAGACGGGGGTTCCATGCATTGGCCAGGATGGTCTCGATCTCTTGACCTTGTGATCCACCGCCTCGGTCTCCCAAAGTACTGGGATTACAGGCGTGAGCCACGGCGCCTGGCCTGGCCTTTTATAAATAAGACATAGGCCGGGCGCGGTGGCTCACGCCTGTAATCCCAGCACTTTACGGGAGGCCGAGGCAGGATCACGAGCTCAGGAGATCACGACCATCACCAGCTAGCACAGTGAAACCCCGTCTCTGCTAAAAATACAAAAAAATAGCCGGGCGAGGTGGCGGGCGCCTGTAGTCCCAGCTACTCGGGAGGCTGAGGCAGGAAGAGAATGGCGAAAACCCGGAGGCGGAGCTTGCAGTGAGCCGGGAGGCGGAGCTTGCAGTGAGCTGAGATCCGGCCACTGCACTCCAGCCTGGGCGACAGAGCGAGACTCTGTCTCCAAAAAAAAAAAAAAAAAAAAAAAAAACACACACAAAAAAACAAAAAAAAAACAAATAAATAAATACAAGACATAAACGTCTAATCAGGCCTGTTTTACTCTTTGAATCTTAAAGCGTTTTGTTTTTTTCCAATTCAGTGTTTTCCCCTTTATTTTTCATACTTTAGGAACAATATAAACAAAAACCTCCACAATACACAACATCCAATCCTGTTGTCAAATCAGAGACAGAATGGGATTTGACACCCTTATTTCCTGACTGAGACACAAGGACAGGAGAGAAAAGGAAACAGTAGATAACAGCAGAGGGAGCCAGGTGGGATGGCGCCGCTCAAGACTGCAGAGAGCCATGGAGTCACTGCACAGAGGGTTATCAACTTTATTTTTTAGAGCAGTTTTAGGTTCACAGTGAAGTTGAATGGAAAATACAGAGAGTGCTCATATACTCACTGTTTCCCTACATGTGCAAACCTCCCCAGCTATTGACCTCCTATTATCAGAGTAGTACATTTGTTACAACTGACGAACCTACACTGACATATCGTTATCACCCAAAGCCCATATTTACATTAGGATTCACCCTTGGTATGGTACGTTCTATGGGTTTGGACAAATGTATAATGACATGGATTTACCAGTATAGTATCATACAGAGGAGTTTCACTGTCTTAAAAACCCTCTGTGCTTCCTCTATTCATCCCTTCCTCCCCCAAGCCCTGGCAACCACTGATCTTTTACTGAATCTAACGTATTGCATTTTCCAGAATGTCATGCAGTTGGATCATAAAATATGTAGTTTTTTTCAGATTGGCCTCTTATTCTTAGCAATATGCATTTAAGTTTCCTCCATGTCTTTTTATGGCTTGATAACCCATTTCTTTTTATCACTGAATAATATTCTTTTATCTAGATGTACCACAGTTTATTTATCCATTTACCTTCTGAAGGACATCTTAGTTGCTTCCAAGTTTTGGCAATTATGAATATAGCTGCTATAGACATCCATGTGCAGGATTTTATATGAATGTAATTTTCAGTTAATGTGGGTAAATACCAAAGAGCGTAATTGCTGGATCATGTGGCAAGAGTAAGCTTTGTTTCATAAAAAACTGGCAAACTGTCTTCCAAAGTTGCTGTACCATCTTTTTATTCCCACCGGCCATGAATGAGAGTTCCTGTTGCTTCAAACTCTTGCCGGTATTTACTATTGTCATTGTTTTGGATTTTGGCCTTTCTAATAGGTGTGTAGTGGCATCTTGTTTCAAACTCCTGACCTCAAGTGAACTGCCGACCTTGGCCTCCCAAACTGCTGGGATTACAGGTGTGAGCCACCGCACCCAGCCAGTATCTTGTTTTAATTTGTGATTCCCTAATTACCTATGATGTTGAACATATTTCCTATGATTACTTTCCATCTATATCTTCCTTGGTGAGTTATCTTTGTAGGTCTTTTGCCCATTTTTGAATTGGGTTTTCTGTTTTCTTATTGTTGAGTTTTAAGTATTCTTTGTGTATGTGTGTGTGTATATATATAATATATATAAATATTATATTATATATATAATTTTTTTTGAGATGGAGTCTCGCTCTGTTGCCTCAGGCTGGAGTGCAATGGCACGATCTCAGCTCACTGCAATCTCCGCCTCCTGGGTTCAAGCAATTTTCCTGCCTCAGCTTCCTGAGTAGCTGGGATTATAGGCACTTGCCACCACGCTGGGCTAACGTTTGTATTTTTAGTAGAGTCAGGATTTCACTATGC